TAGAGGACATGCACCTGTATATAAAACCCACGCCCTATAGTCCGGTGCTCCTTATGTGTGTGTTAAATACAGAAATGACACACATAACTGAGACTGCGCCTTTTAGTACGGTGCACCTTATGGTCGTGAAAATCCGGTAATCTTTTCTTTTAAATACCGGAATAATGAAAGAAGTGTAGCCTTTGTTCATCCGTAGGCAGGATTTCCTGACACAAGAAAGAACTATGTTCATCTGTGAAAAACTGTTGGAATGACAGTACATCATAGGAGCTAGAACCTCCTATTCCTACACTTTTTGCAGGATCAACAGTAAGAACACTATTGTAGATGGGAGGACCTCTTGACTGCTGTGATGCATCCGGACAGCCTTCAGCCTTCTGGACGTCATTACGGGATGGAAAAGCTCACTGTCCAATTAGGACAAGAGCCTTCAGAAAAAGAACTCCAAAAAACAGAAATTAAATAAATGTAGTGAGCGGTTGCAGCTCTCCATTCTGAAACCCAAAACATATGAAGGTGTGAACATCTGCATGTTTCACACATATTACACGTGAGGAAATAATGTAATTTTGTTACATTTTGTAAGATGGGCTGTGTCTGCATGTTCTGTATAGTGTCAGATCCGAATGTCAGGAGGTCTCTATACTAAATTACATTTTGTTAGGAAGCAACCTGCACTATTCAGACAGCAATTATCATGGCGACCACTGACGCGCTTCCACATTGGCTAAAGTGTTCTAACCTATTAGCCCAATTTGGATTGAGCCTCAGACTTACAGAACCCTTTGAGACAGGAGTGGGTTGCCGCAAATTTTATCAATCCTATGTGAATTTGAAAGCATACACCACCCCAATGTCTCATTGTTAGTACTCATGACATCAGCTTCGTTTTTCATTTGTTCTGAAATTCCTTTAGATCCTACTTCATGTCGTCAGACAGGTTCTGTTTAAATCATTTCTACACTTTTCACACATTCCTATAATTCAGGCCTGATTGCCGATAAAACTGACTCAAAAAATGCAGTTAATCACAAGTGGTTCATTCCTATAATAAACAATTCTGCAAGTATAACATAGAAGACTAATGATAGTTAAGATGTGATAAAAAAAAAAAAAAAAAACAAAAAACAAATGCAGCTCACCGTGAGATGGAGAAAAGACGTCATCAGCAGCATTCAGACACAGCATTGGCACCTGCACAGATTTCAGCTTGTGTACAGGACTGGCGTCTCGGTAGTAGTCATCATTAGAAGGATACCCAAACATGATGGAGGTGAACCTCTCATCAAACTCCCGGATAGTCTTTGCCTGTAGAGATTCGATAAAACTCCTTGATTCAGTCCGAGTTTAAAATGACGTGGGTACTTGACCATGACGTGTTCTTACCTTCATGACATGATCAATGTCGTAGCACTTTTCAAGCACCGGCCTATGTCTGCAGAGAGGAACATCAGTCTTACTTTTCGCTAACTCCAGACTTAGACGATTTTCTTACGAATATAAGAATTTTTCTGACAGAATATTTCTATATCTAAAATTATTCTCTTAATTTTTTTTTCTGAAATGTATCTCTCTATATTTTGGTTTTGCCTAAAATGGTTCTAAAATGAAATCTACAAATAAAAAATCTGTTATAAAATATGAAACTAAAGTGTATAAAACAAAAAGACCAGCAATAATATATTTAAAAAGGAGAAACAAAGTGAGCCAAACTGTGACAAGCACCACTATAATAATTCTGGGATAAGTTCATGTTCAGTTGTTACTAAAAAAAACTAAAAAAACATCAGTGAAATATTCTTCACACATATAAACATATTAATGCATATGAGTGAGTGTAGTTTGAGAGCAGCATTTTAGTGTTGTGTTAGTAGCTGGGCTAATCCGGCTCTCGCCCCGGCTGACCTGTGCACAGAGGCTTGTAGGCAGCTGGTGAGGTAGGAGTTGAAGAGGAAACGATCCAGGGGTTTTTCTAGTGACGCAGTGCACTCAAACACATCCCAGCCAGCTGAGAAGACCATGACCCCTTTCAGGCATGTTTTCCGGCCCTTACGTCCCAAGTAGTTTGCCAGCATCATCCTGAAAAATGGAAAAAGGCCATCTGAAGGAAAGCAGGAATTCCATTTCAAACTAATTTCTTAATTCACAGGATTAGGATTTAGCATTGCCACATAGCACTAAAACATGCTTACAAAAAAAATGATATTGCTAATGATGTTTTCATGTCTGCCAGTCTGAAATGTTTCTTTACCCTCCCATTGATACACCAGCAGCCATCATTGGAGCAGCTTCATAGGTTTTTTGGATGTGATCAATGACCGTCTCCAGATCCTCTGTGTTAGCAGCGCAGTAGGTCCTTGGGGTCTGAAAAGGACAGCAAGACTAAATCAAAGGTATCTGTCTGCCTGACTATCTGCAGGACAGATATTATGAAGAATATACTAGAGCAATGTGTAGATATTTATGGTCCTCATACAACTGAAGACTTTATGGGTTGAGAACCTGCTGTATGAGTTTTGCTAAGATAAATAGGTGCTGTGCCTTCCAGTTGTCATGTAACAGACACATTTAACTAAAATATAGCTGCATGTTTAAGCCAAACTAATAGCAAAGACTGAAAGATATCAGGAATATATCTAGTGAATGTGAGTTTATTGCTATTTATTTGTTTTATGTTTTTTTTTTTACCCCGATCAGTTTCCTTTATCCCATTAAAATAACTGAAAGTCCTGTCAAAATGAACTTAATAACTACTGGCAGGTGTGATGAGCCCCTGGCTGCAGCTTTAACAGTTAATTTTTTATTAGAACCTCAGCAGCTTTTGTTCATGAAAGCAAGTTTCATACTGTTCTGTTTTGCAAACAGCATAAACAGAGATTAGAAATATAATGACAGAACCCTAACTTAACACTCAGAACTACCAGGACATTTACTTAGCTGAGCATGAATATATTACACTGTGTGATGGACTGAAGACTAGGGAAGCAGCTAGTTTCATATTTACTCTTTGAAAGGACATTTGTATATTTCATATTTTTAATATCCAACCCAGGTGTCTCATTTTTTCTGAGCATGTGTGAAACAACTCCACAGTTACACAAAAAGAAAATCAGAAATACTTCCGTGTTTTAATTGAAGTCAGCAGATGAGCTATGTTTTAACTCTTAATTTTCTAGTCTAAAAAATAGTAAAAAATTTACATTGAATGACTTATATTTACAAATGTTATATTTAACTTTTTAGTAAAAATGAATGAGTTAAGCCAGGGATACACTGCGAATTTTTGCCATTTTCAGGAAGATTCTCCAGTCATGTGAGAATTTTTCAATGGGACGAGTTTCAGCCTCATCGTGCGTCGTAAAGTATACAGGAGGTAACGAAGGGCAATCAGCCTCTCACAACCACCTCCCGATCAGGCATCGTAAGGTCGGGAGAAAATCAGACCGGCCTCACATTGTGAGAACATACATTGCAAGCTGTGAACTTTTAAACCCTGCGGTTTCGTCATACAGTTTGAGCTGTAGCTGCTTGCAACAATATCGCACAGTGTATGCCGGGCTTTATACTATCAGTAAGAGCCAGTTACTTCATATTTTAAACCAGCCAGCTGGCTAACAGAACCCAATTAACAAGGGGACTACCTCCAGATGCTGTTTGGCTTTTTAAGGTCCCACAATTAAAATTCATGGCCACACCCATAGCAAGGTAAATTGAGGTTTTTCCTCATCTGCTGGTGCTTCACGTATTAACTCTTGAAAGGGGCAAAAAACTCACAAAGGTAAAGTAAATGTAAATGAGTACAGCTGGAGCAGGAAACTAACATAAACAGCAGTGGTTTCATATTATTTACGGGCAAATACTGCTGGATTCAACCCTTTTTTCTGATAACTATAAAGCATATTGTTAATCCCAGATTTGGATTTAGAATCATGTTTCTTTCTTGTCAGAAATGAACCACATTCCTCCAAAATATAATTAAAAAAAAAAGTAACATCAGTAAACATTTTGAAGGAAAAGGAATAAGTTAACTTTTTAATTCAAAAACAACAAACTGCAATGTACAAAAATGCAATGTACAATGTGACCTTTACTGTAGCTTTAGGCAAATTTCAGCTGGAGATGAATGATTTATCTTTGGTGATGAGCAACATGGTCACAATGATTAGAAGCATGTGTGGAGTTTTCATTTTAGGCTAATGAATCAATTTTTCCAGGGAAATTAACAGGTTAGACACCTGAGCAAAGGCTAAAAAGTCTTACTGACAGGAGCATATAAACTGTAAGTGAACTAATTCTGTAAAGACTTCACACTCTAGGCAACTAGGAGCCAATAATACTTTGTAATCCTTCACAAAATTCACATTTGTTGGAGGGAAATCCTGAACAGTGAGGGTGATTCAGAACAATTGGACACATTAAACAATAGAGGACATTTATTACAGCTACACCAAGAACACAGTCACAGAAATGTAGCAATGCTATTTCATTTGCATAGACTTTAGTACAAATTCCAACTAAAGCAATGGAGAACAATCCTCCTTTTCTAACACTTGGTCTGGTTCCAAGGTTACAGAGTCCAACTCCTTGTTTTAGTATGAATGCAGCTGAGTCAACAGCTTTCAAGATGCTCCCTACAGCAACAAGGGTTTAAATCTATGTGACGTCGGATTCTTTATTTTCGCGTCTCTATCATCTAAAGACAGTGAGCAAGTAAGAAAATATAAACCAAGCAAACTTGTCTGCATGTTAAACGGAAGACAAGAAAAGGTGCTCGATCTGAGCTTGTGCTGCTTACTCATATTTCTAAGGATCTCTATTCAAATAAACTACGTTTCTGCAACTTAATCCCTGCTGTGCTCTGTCCATGTAGTTTACCTAAGGGCTATCCTGTATGTAAGCTGGTGACACAGACTGAAAACTAAAGTTTCATTCATTTATTGTTCACATATGTGTAGTTTGGATTACAGGCAAATGACATGGGAAATTGTTTGATGCTCAAAGAGAAAATCATAACATGTCATGAATTCTTACCAGTAGAGTTTCACCAGAGACGCCTCTATTGTTGAATACCACACACCTGTAATGGTAAAAAAAATATATACATTTGTGGTTTAGTGTCATTTTTATTAGAAACTTCGCAATTTTATTGTAAATAACAGTTGGATGTTTCCAGCTCCTTTCGACAGACTCCTCATAAAATAATTACCTGATCTAACGTACATTTTAACATAGAAATAGAACCCATGGTGGGATGTCTTTAAACCAGTTTACTCCTTAATGGTTTTCAGGGTTTTCTTACCAGCTGCTGCAGTTTATATATTTATTCCAGAAGCAATACTAAATATGCCTTTTTAAACCAGTTTTTTTGCAAAAATAGTTATGTTATAAAACACTGAATATTTATAGTCATATCAAATAAGTTATTTGTTCAGATTGGTCTTGTTTGTCAGATTCATATACCTTTTGAAAAAAGCCTTTAAACCAGCATTAAAAAATACTAATTATCATTCAGCCCACATTTCTGTGTAAAAACAGTTTCATTGGTCTGATGTAATGTTCTAATCTTTATTGCTGTGCATTCATTAGGTTTAAGTGAAAAGATTATATACTCAACAGGCATGAGTGTTTGAAATATTCACTTTGAATTAAGTCTCTGAAAGGAATGGGATTTTCAGTAATAATCCAGTTTATTTATTACGACTACAAACGTATATATTTCTGTATGAGGTCATGCTACTGCAGAAGCAGATTAATTAATAGAGAATTAACTGTCCAATTAGGTGCATTACATATACAAAGACAATTTTGGTATTTCTTTTTCATATATTTCTAGCAGAAGCTTAAAAGAAAAATGAAAATCAACAACTTTTCAAAGGAAAACATTAACTGACTTCAATATAGCTTTAGTTAAATATTCTTTAATAGAAATATAATCAAGATCTGAAAAAGCTCCCAGCTGCTTAGAAATCATGTACTACAAATTAAAACGGTGTCAGCGTCTTTCCTCCCCACATTTCCTTGATCATCTATTATCTGGCGGAGTCAGTCCTGCTGTTTTCTACCAGTGCAAGTCAGCAGCATTGTGCAGCGACTGAGGTTGGGAGGGAGGAGGCGGGGCAGCGACAGAGGGGTGCTTAAACATACTCTGCAGCACAGAAGCTGGTCGGAGCTAAGCTGCAGAAGCTTGTACAGGGATAAGCTGTAATTAATTAAGCTACACGGACAACCGTGAGCGGTGGAAGATGCTGAATATGCCGGCTCTCTTCCTCCATGTCCTCCCAAATCCGGGTAAAAGAATGAGAACAGGGAGCACAGAGACAAGCTGTTCAAGATGGTGAGAAAAGGAGGAGAAAGGGAAAAAAAACTGCATCCCTATGCAAGTCCTGAAGCTTGTGCAACGTCTGGCTATTTAGAACAGCTCTTCAGAAAGGCTCGAGCTGCCCACTTTGTTAGTGCACTTCACCTAAAGTAACCCTGGGGCAGGATTCTGATTACCAATCTTAAAAAATGCGTAAAAGATGGAGAACACTGCATTGGAATATGGGTAAAAGAGCAAAACATATCATGCTAGACAGCAGATATCAGTTTAAGTCTGTAATTCAGTGTCGTTGAATGTCTGTGCAGCAATGGGCTGCAGCCAGTGTGTTTGGCCAAGACCACCCACCTATAACCCAGATCCCGGCTCTGTTGGACCATGTGCAAAATGTAGGATTCTCGGCTGGTGCCAGTCAGGCCGGGGAGAAGGAGCACTGTAGGCCTGGTGGCAGGGTTGGGATAAGCGAGGCTGCCATCGTTGTCAAACCAATCCACAGATATCTGTCCTCCATCTGCTGCCTTAATAAGCTCACTGCAGAGAAGAGAGAGAGAGAAAGATGCAACTCAGCAGCATGGCTCGTCCTGAAAATGACCTCTCATCAGCATCCGTATATGTCCGTCTCTTTGCTTCACTTATGCGTGAGCATCAGGTCAGGGATCCTAAAAACCTTTCCATTTCCAACTTCCATAGTTTTCCAGAATCTAACTTCAATCACACAATATCAGATAAATCTTTAATTGAAATTTCAATGCTGAAAAATTCAAATGACAATATTAGTTATAATTAACCCACATTTCCCTGACTTTCCTTTCTTTACAGCTACATGAAGTCCTCACAATTTTTGTTATGTTTTTACAATGAGTGACACTAAAGATACACACTAAATCATGGCAGTGTGTGGTTCTCTAAGTGTCCAAATATATTAGAAATGTAGAAAATTAATCCCTGAGAGCCGAAATGAAGCAGCTGACTATATACATTGCATTGAAGCAGGCTTATGATTACCTTTATTGACATTGATATTGCAGTGATTATGCATAGATGCTCTATAATGGGCTGGTGACCTGTCCTGGGTGTACCCTGCCTCTCACCCACTGACTGCTGAAGATGGGTACCCGCTGCACCTCGGCAATAATATTAAGGTACAGGCAATGGATAGACGGATACAACTTTAAGACATTGAGAAACAAAGTCTGGAATACAAAAGGCTTTTTACACTTTTTTCTTTTTATTTATTTTTTTTGGGTAGAAACACTGAGACATGCCCCCACCTCCCACACGTAATAACAATTATGATGAAAAATGGTGCAAATTATAGGAAAAGTGGTGATTAACTCCATCCTCTACACTATCTAGGCTTTCAGATGAGTTCCAGGTAAACTGATTACTTCATTGTATCTTCCCCAGAGCTGACAGTCAGAGGGGAATTTGATATATGAGCAGAGTATTCACAGACAGCTGCCTTATTTGCCTTGTGAACATCTTTTCAGTCGACTCTGCAACATGTGGTCAGTTACATTAAAGAGGCTAATGCACCAGTAGCTTCTTAGGGCCATCCGGTTTCTGCACTGTAGAGCTGGATCCGGGCAGCTCAGGAGCTAACGTCTTTTTATACACTGCAGTGCTTATAAAACCATGCTGCCAGCTGGTGAGAAACTCCACCAGATTGAGGTGAAGGCACCAGTGTGAAATTACAGAACCCTGTGCTGAAATATACACCAGAGGCAACACTTTAAATTCAAGAAGGCCTGATACAGAAACATGCACACAAAGTGGGGAAAGGTGTATCGCTTACAACAAACGGCACCATTTCACATCGGCCGTCTTTGTGTCAACCTTGGATAAATTCATTAAAGCACTAGGAGGTTGTCCAGCACTTCCCTGAGGAACATTTCAGAGTACAGCAAATGTGACCATTTTTCTTACCTCGCTTGATATAAGGCATCTGCACTAAGATGGCTATACAGTACACCTTGGGCACCATGGGAGTACAAGTCTCCTTGACAAAGGAGTGCATTAGAAGCGTGAATGTAGTTGGAACAGAAAGCAATACATCTTACACTTCAAATAGATAATACAAATAACGGCAGTTTTAATTCTACCATCACGTCTGTTGATTTTTGTTGGGATGTTGAACATAGAGTCTAATAAGATCAAATTAGGAGACGCCTCAAACGCAGATTGGAATGGCAAATGAACCGTATATGGTGTGTTATTTATTCTATAAATCCATTCTTTAAAGACCACAAACATGATCTCTGTATTTATCTAACCACCACCTTACACAGCACTGATGGCATTAGTACAGTTTAGAACTTTGGACAGTGAAATAATTTAAATATGACCCTAGAAGGCAGTAATATATTGCAGCACCAATAAAGACTAATGAGAACAGGATAAACCTCAGGTAAAACAAATAATATTATCAATATAGAAATTGAAATGCACTAAGACAAAAAGATTAATGGAAAATAAAACTAATACAACAATAATTGCTTTAGTTAAATCTGAGCAAATTTCCTTTAAAGGGTATTAGGTACTTATACAAACTGAATTAAAAGATCTGTTCTTCTTGGCTCTTTAGTTTGATTTGAGATTTCACAAGAAACTAGAGAGTAAAAATAAAAAGTCAACTTATGACAGAGAAGGACTTACTTTCTATAAACCACTCCAGGTTTGGCGGTGACAAAAGGTCTCAGCAGAGTTTGGATCCGACTCTCCCAGCACCAAAAGGTTGGGTAGTAGGTCTCCGACACCACTGGACATTGCTCCTTTAAAAACTGGTAAAACTGCTTACCACCAGAAATAAGCTGAGGTTTCTGAAAATGAAATCAAAATACAGTTTTGCAGTAATTCAAGTAATGCAGGACAACATTAGTTCACATGTCTAATTGTGATGATAAGGGATGCCCTGGTTTGATATTCAAAATCAGTATGATAACATCCAAAATATTAATATTAGATTACATCATCCTTCCTTTAAACTCTCTGATATAAGCACATTGATAGAGACATTCTGCTCCAGCATACAGCTGGAGCTTAATCACTTCTATCCATCAGTGCTTGTATTCTGCACACAGACCCAACGTGATAAAAACAACAGGAGCTAGTGCAAAAGTTGCCATTGTTGTTAGGGATAGTTTAGGTAACTAAGTGGTTCCCAAAACTTATGAGGTGGTTACACTATACAATGAAGTCAATTCAATTCAGTTTACTGATATAGCACCAATTCACAACATATGTCATATTAAGGCACTTAACAGAGACAATTCATCTAGATCATACAGTCGGATTGGTTTAAAGTTTTCTATAGAAGGAAAACTGGCTGATTGATTGATTCAGCAATCCCTCACACCAAGCATGCATGTAGTGACAGTGGAGAGGAAAACTCCCTTATTCCTTAACAGGAATAAACCTCCAGCAGAACCAGACTCAGTGTGAGCAGTTATCTGCATATAAACACCCTTCTTTATTTAACCAGGTTTTCCTAACTACTCCTCTTGTTCTCTATACAAATTTTCATTCCAAACGCGCTCCATGAGCTATAGCACCTCGGTCATGATTATCTACACCAGGTTTAATGGTAAAGAAATGTGAAAGTCCACCTAGCTGCACTATTGGACCCAACAGCACACTCTAAAATGACGTACACAACACTGAAGTTAGAATCACCTTAACCTTAATAACTGTCAGTTGAGCTTGGACTTATTTTCTTTTGGGTATACCCATAACTTTAGATATTTTAACATTGACTAAATTAAAACAAATCTATGAAGACAACACAACAGCTTGTGTGGAAATAAACCAAATCTTCATCAGGCTTTTTCTTAATTTCCCACTTATTAAACTAAAAACTAAAAACTGCTCACATTTCATTTCTCAAGTATAGAAAAAAATGTGTATTTAAAGGACACAAAAATAAGATATGGAAAACAACAAACTGTCTGTTATTGTGTAGATTTAGATATGGTTCTCAAAAGGAACTTGCTATCACACAAAAAGATAAAATAGTAGGGATATTTTGTTGGTATTTCACTGAATAAGAAATATTCAGAAATTCCAATGTTTTTTTTTTTTTTTACTGGCCCTCTTTAAATACAAAAGCAACAGTTATTAGATTCATTTTAAAAGTTTGTCTGAACTGCTTCATTTAAAAGTCTTTAAACGCTCAAATCAAAGTGTTTTCTCAGTAATGATAATAAGTTTTTTAATTAACATTAACACTTTACGTTTTTATGAGTCAGGAAAAAAAAGGGCCCTTTCAGACCTATGGAGGTTCTATGAGCATTTATTGACTCGTTGGCTTGCAGGTATAACCTGGGGGTAGAAAGGTCTCTAATCCCATTTCCATTTTTATATACAAAAGGCGGCGTGGGAAGGCTGTTTTATTGGATGCCAATTTCCTTTAAATTTCATATCAGGCAACTATTGTTCTATAATTTAAAAATATTTGATACATTTTAAATCACACGGTAAAACAAACATAAGAAAACAGGGGCAAATAATTTTAAATAGTATAACAATTTCATTACTCGTAAACATACTCCTGCACTTTTACTTGCCCATTTTATAACAGGCAATTTAAAGATAAAACCTCCAAACGCGTATTTCACTGGACGGATTTAATATTACTTTTATAAACTACAAACATTTGTTAATAACATTAAAGTCATTTATCACAAAACATAACTACGGAAAAGGCTAGGGCCACTGAAAAAATAAAAAAAGTTAACTGATTCTTACATTTTATTTCAGGATAATGTGAGAAAAAGTCAGAATTCTGACTTTAATCTCAGAATTCTGACTTTTTCTCTCAGAACTCTGAATTTAATCTCAGAATTCTGACTTCAATCTCAGAATTCTGACTTTTTTTTCTCAGAATTCTGACTTTAATTTCAGAATTTCGACTTTTTTCTCGGAATTCTGACTTTGATCTCAGAATTCTGACTGATTATTGACAGCTAACAAACATGTTAGCATTAAGCCATAGCCATGTCTGTTTTAAAGATTAAACTAGCTCTTAATCGCCTTCTGCTCTTCCATTA